GAAGACAAACGAGGGATGATATCCTGAAGGCAACAGCAGCTAATCCCCTGCAGCTGGAAGCTGCAACTATCAGAGTTTTAAAAGATGTTCCATTCGAGGTTCGTGAGAAAAGGAAAGCCTACAAAGAGCTGATCTCAACATTGCAGATCAACCAAATTTCGTATTCCTGGAATTTCCCGGAAGGTGTTGTGTTCAAATACAAAGACAAAAGGGAAAAAATTGACTCGGCTTTTAAAGCAGAAGAATGGTTGAAGCGGTTTTTCGGATCGAAGGAGGAAGAACAGCAAGAAGGAGGGGGCGGAGCAGTCACCATAGAAGACAGGGACGACGACCAAGGAGCATCAGGTGGCGAGGCCAAAGAGACATATGATTTGCGGCTTAGAAGACCAAAGTAACTCTTTGGAGACTTGAAACTTGCAAACAGGGATGAAGATGAAAGAACTCTTTGCGCACACAAAAGAGGATGGAGAAGACACTAACATGGACTTACTAATTTCCGATTGCATTGACTTAAACGAAAAACTTTTAAATTTTGAATACTAACAGAATACTAACTGTTAACAACCCTCTCTCTTGGGATTTTAGTCATAGTGTGGTTTTTTTATTTTCTGTCCTTTATCCCGGGTAACTTTTCCCTTCCCTTTTTTCTTTTCTGTAGTGTTTAGGTGTAACAAAAAAATAATAAAGCTACCCTGCTCGCAGGGGATTAAAAAAAAGAAAAGAAAGCATCACCCAACCTTTTCTTAATCCCACTATATACCTTCCCTCTTTCTGATATTAAAAGCATAAATTCTCTCATTTTCAGGAGAGTCAATAAAAAAAAATGTTACAAGATTTATAAAACATAACTACTCTGCATTACCAAGTGATGCTCTGTCATCTTGGTGCTTGGGGCGGTCAACAGTGGGAGGGCTTCTAATGTCCTGGCCCCACTGGTGGACTTCCTGATGGCACCGGTATTTCTGGCCACTGTGTGATACAGAGTGTTGGACTGGATGGGCCTTCGGCCTGATCCAACACTGGCATCTCTTATGTTCGTCTGTTCTTATTTGTTGTTTAGAATGAAGATTTAAAATAAACATAAAAAGGCAATAACTACAGTATAACTTTATATAGGCCCTGGTCATACGGGCCGGAAAATGCGGGGAGGAAGCGTGGCTGTTTGCCCCAGAGGAAAATTACGAGCGGTTGTGTGATCAGACGTCCCTTCGAGGTCCTATGGAGGTCCCGTGGTTAGGGGGCAGGTGGCGATCACACGATGATCCTGCAGCGCGGCAAAGAAGAGGTGCGGCGCGATCACACCAGCAATCGCTAGGCGCCGCTTCCGTGGCAAATGGGATGGATTTTTTTAAAAAAACTGAAGTTTGTGCATACGCATGACTGAGCAATCGTATCTGCACATCCGAAGGCGGGTGGTGGGCTTACCGGAGCTTCGAGGCATAGCCAATGGAACGGGAGGTGGGCCCCCTCATCCACAGCCGCTCTAACCACCTGCACGACAGTGGCCATAGCGACCCTCCAGAGGCGGCAAGCCTGGCTGCAGTGGGAGGGGGCCTCTTTGTGCGCATGTGCCGTTGGGCGCTTGTGTGCATCCTGTGGAGACTTGGGGGGGAACCTGTTCGCGACGAGACATGGGCGGGCGCCGGATGCCACGGGATTCCACCGGAAACGCAATCAGGCGCCCGCCCTTGCCCCGCGGTTTCCGGAAACTAGTACCTCGGAGGTACTAGTTTTTTACCCCGCATCTTTGGCGGGAAGCCTCGGGTTCGCCACGGGAGCTCTGCGCTTCCCAGATGTGGCGCTGTGATCGCGCCCAGAAAATCTGCCTATCTTCCGTCTCTGTAGCATGGCTAGTGTTCCGTGTGACCGCAGCTCTGATACCCCATTCTTTCAAAGAGATAGGTAGGGGTCTAACTAAACGACACAGTTGCAAATCTGTGTTTTAGAAAATGGGCTGCTGCTGAATAGATACACAGTGAAGCTGAAGGTGCTAAACTCCTAAAGGCAATCAGCTACCAGCTAAGCACTTTGACTGGAAGTAAACCCTGCTAGGGGAAAACTGGCTAAGGAGAGAGATGAGGGGGCACAGGCAGGAAATGATTCAATATTCCATTCCAAACATAAAACATAGGCTGTGACATCATCATGTCTACTTATATAATGTAAGTTTTGTAGGCTGTTTGCAGGTAAAGGTTTTCCTCTGGTTTGGCATCCAAACTGGAGTGTGGGGTTTTTTGCAGCAGCCATACAATGTCATCCCCTAATAATCTTTCCACTCCCACTCCCCCCGCTTTGATGCTATCATTCCCAAACCCTCTGTTGATAAAATCTTTTAGAAAGACTGCAAAGTTCCTCTGAATGCCATGTGGATGGGAAGCTGTCTGTTTCTGAAAGTCTTGCTCACAGTTACACCATCTTCCTCTGTAGAAAAGAGCAAGAGTCCAGTAGCACCTTAAAGACTAACAGCATTTGTGGCAGGGTATGAGCTTTCATGGGTCACTGCTCACTTATCCAGATACAGCTAGAATGGGAGTCCATCTGTCTTATATATTGGAAAGTGGAGTAATTTCAGATGTCAAATAACATTAGCAGGCAAATGACAATAGCAGGTGAATGACAATAGCAGGCAGGTGAAATATGCAGACAATAGCAGGCAGGTGAAATATGCAGAGGGGTAGTAGGTATGGAGAAATCAGCATGGGTAATGAGACAGGAAAACTAGATCTCAATTCAGTCCAGGTGGATGCATTGTCTTGAGCTTCATTATCAAAAATTCCTTTGAAAGAGAACTGCTGCTTTCAGGTCAGCAACTGATTGTCCCGGAAGGTTAAAATGTTCCCCCACTGGTTTTTCAATGTTGTGGAACCTAATTTCAGAATTTCAAAGGGAGATTAGAAAAGAGAGACTGCTGAATTGCCACTTATGAATGTTTGTCTGCTGCAGACAGACAAACATGGCTACGCATCTGGATCTATCACCATTTTCCTCAGCCCTCTACTCTCTACCCTACCAATGGAGGGCTTTTTCAGACCTTCTCAGCTTTCATCCAAAGGGGGCGTGGGAAGCCTATGGGAGTCTAGAGGAGAGAGTAGCTCATAGGCTGCAGTCACACGCAACATTAGCCACGCAAGAGATACGGAAGACAGGCGGAGTTTCCGGGCGCGATCTCACCAGCACATCTGGGGAGCGTAGCGCTTCCGTGGCACAACCGAGGCTTCCTCCCGAAAACGCGCAGCAAAAAACTAGTACCTCGGAGGTACTAGTTTCCGGAAACTGCGGAGCAAGGGCGGGCGTCTGATCGTGTTTCCGGTGGCATCCAGCGCCCGCCCATGTCCCCTTGCGAAGAAGGTTTTTTTCCCCCAAGTCTCCGTGGTTGCGCACACGCACCCAACGGAGCATGCGCATTCGTAGTGTACACAAAAAAAGAAACCCAGTTCGCCGCGCCGCGCGCTTCTTCGTTGCGCGCAGGCATGTGTTGTGATCGACGCCTCTCCGTAACCACGGAAGCTCCACGGTACCTCCACAGAACCTCCACAGGAGGTATGATCGCTTTACTGCGTGTTAGTTTGCCCCGGGGCAAACAGCCACGCTTCTCCCCCGCAGTTTCCTGCGCGTGTGACCGGGGCCTTTGTAATGCACTGTTAACAGTATTACACTGTAATGATCTAACAACTGCTTTTTAAAAAAAGTCTGAAAAGCCCTCCATTGGTGGGGCTGAGGCCATGGACAGTTGAGGCAAGGAAAGTGCAGAGAAACTTGCCTTGTGTGAATACTGAATTACTGCTTCAAATGCCTCTGCTATGTGGAAGCAGACATGGTAACCAAGAGCTCTCTCTTCTTTTAAATGCAGATTATCTGCCTTTGCATGACGGAGTGAGCTCCCGTCTCTAGTTCCAGCTCCTGCCAACCTAGCAGTTCGAAAGCAAGAAATTGCAAGTAGATAAATAGGTACCACTTCAGTGGGAAGGTAACAGCGTTCCGTGCACCTTGGTGTTTAGTCATGCCGGCCACATGACCATGGACACGTCTTTGGATAGCGCTGGCTCTACGGCTTTGAAACGGAGATGAGCACCGCAACCCTAGAGTCGGATTCGACTGGCTTTCGAGCAAGGGAACCTTTACCTTTACCTATCTGAGTTCTGAGAATGCTGGGATATAAACCTAAAACAGTAGCACCATCATACCAAACTATGCAATGAAGGAGCAAAAAATCAACCTCTCTAAGGAAACTGTGTAGAACGGCTCATCCACTGGACAGGTGGAATGGTTATCCCACGTCTCACTACCACTGCTTCCCCTGGGGACTCAAGCAATCTCATCCCAGTTTCCCTAGCCACTTTGCACAGTAAGCTTGTTGCACATCTAAGCAGATCAAGGTTATGCCCCAAAAGCAAAAAGAGGAGGAAAAGGAAAGCTGAGGGTGTGTGCGTGTGAGAGACTGCAATCCAGCATGCTCTGATGAAAAAAGCAAGTCCTTAACCAGTAAGTTCAAGTCTATTATAATACAAGCACTACACATCATTACAAATGATGATTCACAGTTAATTCAGACTCAACCATTGGTTAAAAACACACGCACAGGGGCAGGGAAAAGATGTTTTTTAAAAAAAGATTACATAAACTCAAGCAGAAAACTGTACCCTGCCTTCAACAGCCCTGATTAAAAACCGTAGAAAGTACTGCTATCTTCCTAAGCAATTTGTAGATTTTCAGCGTCTCTGTTGCTACTTGACAAAGTCCAGCGAGTCAGACTCCCACACACCAGATTGCTCTGAGCTGCCGAGAGCTGTGACATCACTGGGTAAAAGTTTGGCTTCGGCCAGCCCTCTACTGTTTGTGGTTAAGGGGGAGGCCCTGAACGTGTCTATTGCTGGTGGATCCCTTGCTCTTGTGGGAGGGAAAAGCGGAGCTTATCCAACCAGAACTTGTCTGCTTACCGCATGCTTGATTATCTGTTTTCCCCCCCTCCTTCAGCATGTAAATCCACCACAAAGGAGCTGAAGTTCAAATAGGGCTGTTTTAGCCTCGCTTGAAACGATGGATTCAGAGCTTTACAACTGAAATGCAGGAGAGCTGGAGTTCCTGAAAAGCAAGTCACTGCTGCAGCCTATTGTCCCTCAGGGTCTATAGTATGTGAACCAACGGATAAGATTCAGCAATCAAGTTAAAGGGACAAGAGTAAACAATAAGGAACTAACCGGACTGCAATAACCTTATGCTTTTATTCTTCCAAGTACAGTACTAAGTGAATAAACCTTTCCTGCAAACAAATCTAGCTAACCTTAATTGCTGATGAATTTATTTATTTTGGTGCAATCAGTGATGTCACTAGTTCTGTGGGTGAGCCAGCAACTGAATCTTTGATTATTATTTTTTAAAAAAACAACTTTAAAGCTTGAAGAAAGAAGTCCCAAGGAAACAGGGTAAGAATATGAAAGGTGTCATGTTTAAAATAAATTCCTATTTTTAATGTCATGAAATCATTTTTACAACGCTATTATGCTTTAGAAAACAAAGCCAGCCTTTTGTAAGTTTTGATTTAGATTCTTCCCTAAACTACCAATTTCTGTGACAAACTGTATGTCCATAAATAAGGGATTTAAATCAATGCATGCAAACCTTCATTTGCTAGGGGTTCTGCATAGTTTTTCTTGATTTTACTTCAAATACATGGTTGTTAACTCAGTCTAAAATGTCAAAGATATAATTTTAATTTCATAAGAAATCCACCAGAGCACTGATCATACATGTGACAAAAAAGCCTTTTCCTCCCTAAAAGGCTTCACAGCAAAACCTCTGCTCTTTGTACTATTTCTTTGAAAGGACTATTGTATTACAGCCCAAGAAGCTAGTCTTTACTTTCATGACACATTGATCAGATTAAGAGATACAGAAAGTTCTTCTAAATTCCTAGCATTTTAGTGTTTACATTTTAAAGTAAAACTTTTTAAAAAAAGAAGTCCAAACAACCAGAGTATTTTTTGAATATTTCTTGCAACAGCACATACAATAAATACCAAGTGTGAAATATGAAGCAAGAATTATAAGGCTAAACAGTACTGCAAAATGCAAAACTCCTATTTTGACATTTAGCATATGAAACAGAAAGCAAACAGTGTCAATACATCTCTCAGCATGCTTTGGCTTAACAGAGAATATAATGAGGCTACCTGTAAAGGGGAGTAAGAACAAATATAGTATTTGGGTTCAGCTTTCCTAGGAGCATGTTCAACAAAAAGACGTTGTGTAGTAAATTTCTTTCTGACCCAGAAGCAAAGGTTGTGGAGACAATTATGGGCTTGTCTTCTTTTGCAGTCAATATTAAGGAAGAAAGGCCAAAGACACTGGATAGCTAATTCTCTGAAACCTCTAAGGGCATTTTGTTACCATTTCAAAACAAGCATTCTCAAAGAATCAAGGATCTTTGTTTTTACAGTATTCCATTGGTCAACCCCACCACCACCACCAAAAAAACCCCACCTCAGCAAGGAGGAAATTAGGGCTCTCAACCAAATGAAAAAAGGTTGAGTTTACCTACTTTGTTAAAAGAGCAACAAAATAACAGGACTGCTCCTGCTTGCTTCATATTAGTTCAGTAACAAAAAAGTATGCAGGGGAAATGACTAGTTCTTGGAGGATTTTGATATTAAAAATATGTACTAATGGGTTACTTTTGATATAAGGAAAATTCTGAATAAATTGTGCCTATCTCTACTTACCATCAGCCTTAAGAAATCTGTATCCCTGAAGCTTAACACTGCTATTGTTCTCTCATTTCCCAGGGGATTCCCCCTCCCCCCCTGCACCTACAGAAAAGTTCTACCTTAAAACAATTCAGGGCTATCCCAGCTCTCAGACCTCTATACTGTCACCAAAACAGAATATTGGCTGGTCTTTTGGCAAGAACCAATTCTATACAAATTTAATTTTGGGGTGACTTGAAAGATTGTTTTGTGCTAGGGGAAACAATTAGTTGGGTTTTTTTTAAGGAAATGTATTGTTTAAAAGGCACAAAATTTTTCTGGTAGGATTTTTTTCTCCATTTACTTAATAGCTATTAAATTTGCCTTCCAGTATGAATTAACATCTGATAAGGAATATCAAATCCATGAATGCATTTCCATAGCTGACAAACTGTGCAGAAATTTCATACTGAAAGTAACTTATGTAGTAGGAAGGATAATGTCAGGGCATAAATGGAATAGGGCTTGCAGGATCTCAGTCGCAGAATTCATTTTGAATTCTAAATGCATGAGGAATAATAGTAAAAAGGAAAGTACTCTGAACAAGCACAAAGAAAATTGCTCTCAACATCAAGTAACCACAGCTGTTCCCATACATCTGGCATTAAGAAGCAGAACTTCTAGGTCAAAAGGGAATGACTTCAAGGCTGAGACTTTTTACTTCTTACTTTAGAAAATGGGAATCTTATTTCATTGCAATCCATTCCATAACACAAGGGCTCCAACATAGTATGCCAATGGATCTTTATGGTTCCAATATCAGACCATGAAATCAAAGACCTTGAAAGAATTAGTCTGCACTGATCACAATACTGAGCAAAGTTCTGACTACTAGCAGACTGCAGATACAACCAAAATACTCCACTACCTGGTGGTGGTTCTTTATCCAACATCTAGGAACCACTGCTGAAGCAAAATGCCAAGCAAAAAGTTATGCAGAGGCTGTTTTATTTGGAGGTATGAAGAAAAGTAAATATAAAACAAGGGAGGATGACAACCGCAGAGTATTTAGAACAACACTTATTTTGTCACAGTTACAACTTCTGAGAAATTCAAATTGTAATTACCAATCCAGAGTTTTCTATATTCCACCTTGATCAAAATTCCTGGTAAAATCATTTCACACAGCTAGGAATGTAAAGGATCTCCTTTAAATAATGATTTCTAAGTAGACAGCGCAGGGAAAAAACTGTACTAAAAAGACACTATTTGAATATACATACAAATAAACATCTGAGAGTTTAGGGCTCTGATCTATCTAGCTGCTGCTACTGTGTGAAACTTCATAGGAATCTGGGGATTTTTAAAACAGAAAACACAGTAGATTTTGAGGCTCTTCTTACTCCCTAAAGGAAAGAATACCCCCAAGTGCCTATCACAATCTGGTATGTTACTATATGGGCACAGACCCAAGTTTATTTTTTCAGAGAGAAACACTACATGGCTGAACACTAGGCCTTTCATGACTTCTCATTCGGTTGGGTATTAAATTCTGCTACTTATGAAAATTGCTCCAAATGGTCTTAGTACACCATTCAGCCTGGGAGCTGTTATGAAGAAAAACCTTTAAAAAAACCTAATGGAGCCCAGTTGTCCAGCTGACCATCCTTTGTTCAGTCATATATTTATTTATTTATTTATTTATTTTTATACCCCGCTCTCCCCGCGCGCGGGCTCAGGGTGGCTTACAATGTATGGGTGCAATACAACACCGTAGTTCCACAGTAAAGGCACACAGTGCAATAAAAACACAATAAAACATTTTAAAACAGTTAAATACAGTTAAATAGAGTGGGCAATGCCCAAGGATCCCGCGTGACTGACCCCCTCTCTCCCTATTGCACATACCCTTGAGTCAAAAAGGGAGGATGCTGTGGCCCCGATGTTCGTTGGCCAATCAGCCTCATCCAGCGGTGCTGCTGTGCAGGCCCCTGTTGGTGGTAGTAGTGGTGGCGGCGGCTCCTATTCGAAAGCCTGGCGGAAGAGCTCCGTCTTACAGGCCCTGCGGAACTGTAACAGGTCCCGCAGGGCCCTGATCTCCTCCGGGAGCTCGTTCCACCAGATAGGAGCCGCCACCAAAAAGGACCTGGCCCTTGTGGCAGCAAGCCTGGCCTCTTTAGGGCCCGGGGTCACAAGACGATGTTAAGACCCCGACCGAAGTGCTCTCTGGGACCTGTGTGGGCAAAGGTGGTCCCTCAGGTATGCCGGACCCTGGCCATGTAGGGCTTTAAAGGTAAGCACCAGCACTTTGAAGCGGATCCGGAATGCTATAGGCAGCCAGTGCAGCGCTTTCAGCACAGGCTGGATGTGGTCCCACTTCGAGACACCAGCAACCAGCCTGGCCGCCGCATTCTGCACTAGCTGCAGCCTCCGAATTAGCGACAAAGGCAGCCCCATGTAGAGAGCGTTGCAGTAGTCTAGCCTCGAGGTGACCGCCGCGTGGATCACTGTGGCTAGGTCTTCACAGCTGAGGAAGGGGACCAACTGCCGCACCAGCCGAAGGTGGTAGAAGGCTGCTTTGGCAGTGGCTGCCACCTGGGCCTCCATCGTTAAGGTGGAGTCCAGGAGCACTCCCAAACTCCTAACCTCCGAAGCTGGCACCAAAGGCGCCCCATCGAAGGCCGGGAGCAGGAGCCCCAATCCCATCCCGTTCCGACCCAGGCACAGGACCTCCGTCTTCGCCGGGTTCAGCTTCAGCCGACTCAGCCTGAGCCATCCAGATACGGCCTGCAAAACAACAGTTTAATTAAAAAGCTAGGAAACTGACCTCTTCCATCCCTTCAGGATGAGTTGTAATACGGTGGTGGAAAGTGCCATCACAGCTGACTTACAGTCACTCTGTAAGGTTTTCAAGGCAAAAGATGTTCTTAGGTGGTTTGCCATTGCCTGACTCCGCATAACAACTCTGGACTTCTTTGGTGGCCTCCCTAGGGTTGCCAAGAGGAACTTACCTTGGCGGCGGGGGACTCCCGGGTGGATCCCGGTGCACGCGCACGCGCGCCGCACACATGTCACCAGGAAGTGCCGTTATGACGCCAGGAACGCTGGGGGTGGGGCCATGACCATACAAGGGAAAACCATAGAGTTTTCCCTTGTATGGCCATGGCCCCGCCCCCAGCATGCCTGGCATGCTCGCATCACTTCCGGGTGACACGCATGTCGGAGAGGAGTTCCCCCTGGGGCCAGATCCAGCGGCACTGGGGAACGGGCCTCTGGGGCAGGGGTTTCCCTGCCCCCCGGGGGGACTTGGGATCCCTAGGCCTCCCATCCAACTACTAACCAGGGCCAACCCTACATAGCTTCTGAGATTGGGTTAGCCTGGATCATTCAGTCAGTACTGTAATACTTACCCAACTTCATCCACATTACATATTGGTAAGGTAGGTCAAGCTGAGACTTAGGACCTATGTAATTACAAAAAGTCTGCAGGTGGCATGCCTTGGACACTAGCTTCCTTAGAAAATGTCAATGGGCCCAAAGGGCACTCAATTTGATTCATGACTGAGTCTTACATAGCCAACCCCCAAATTCTATACTCTGAAACACGATGGCTCTTAAAGGAGACTCCTTCAAGTTGGCATTGATATCTAAGAATTACTTGAGAGAACATAACCTTCCAGTTTTATATTCTGTCTTCTTGCTTGCAGCTCAGGTGAGAGTATGAGGGCCAAGGAAGGGAG